TGCTTCAGTGTTACTTCACTCATGGCATCACCTTGCATTTGCTTACTTTCCTTAAGATTTCATTTGTTATGTCATTCATGTATAATGAACAGGAATTTAAAAATTAATGTGTAAATATACTGCCTATATTTAGATAAAGCTCATCTTAACAGACAAATTGAGGCCAGAATGATGCCAGAAACTGACATTTTTAAACAACTGCAATAACTCTTCTGTGAAGTTTATGTAAGCATTTTGGATGTGCTCTTTATCCATTTTAGAGTATAAGATCTTAAAGAGCACACAGTCTCTTAAATGTTGATGAATTACTGTTTTTTTCATTATACTGTTTTTTGGGGGGGGGGGGTTTGAAGACTAATGGTAGCACTAGATTTCTTTTCAGCAGATCCTTTCTCGAGAGTATAGATATTGAGGGAACTTGTGTTTATGTCACATTTTAGGCAGTTTAAAGTCACTATCAGCCTAAATATCATTAGTATATTCTTGTTTCTATTACTAAAGTTTCTATTTTTATCCTATGGTGTGTTTTTTTTTTTTTTTTTACTAAATGTAAAGTAACGAGTTCATAGAACTTATGGATAAATTACAGTTCAACAGTGTTTAACGTTACTTTGAAGAAGTTAAGCTGAGTGGTAGTTCCGTTATTCCTTGTGCTTATAATGAGCAGTCTCATTTTTAAAGGCATCTTATGTTTTTTCTACAATCTAGTGTTAGAGGGTTTGGAGAAAAGGAAAAACTTTGAAAAGCTAGAAATGCGAAAGAAGGAAGGAAACAAATAATATTGGTGGAGGCCTTGCAAACATTTTATAGCAGAATCTTTTAGATAGCTCAAGGTTCCCGGCTCTACATGCCACCCCATCTCTTCCCCTGTTTTAACTCCAGCTGGGTACTAAATGTTCTCCTTGACTACTGTCAAGGAAAATGAACTTTGTTTAGTGAGATTTGATATGGTTGATACAGATTTTGGAACATCTGGGGTTTTTTTTTGTTGTTTTTTTTTTCAGGTTGCATCTGGAGGTGGTGGGGTTGGAGATGCTGTTCAAGAACCAACAACAGGCAACTGGAGAGGAATGCTGAAAACTTCAAAAGCAGAAGAGCTGTTAGCTGAGGAAAAGTCAAAACCAATTCCAATTATGCCAGCCAGTCCACAAAAAGGCCATGCTGTGAATCTTCTGGATGTGGTAAGCCATGAGAATTTGGCTGAGGACTAATAAGATAACCAAAATACTAGGTAAACACTACAAAAGACAAAAGGAACTAAAAAGTAGTATTTTTTTTCCTCCTCACCCTATTTAGCCAGTCCCAGTTGCACGAAAACTATCTGCCCGTGAGCAGCGAGATTGTGAGGTTATTGAACGACTCATCAAATCATATTTTCTTATTGTCAGAAAGAATATTCAAGACAGGTTAGTAGTGCATAATATAAATCAGATTATGATATTGCTGGATGATTCCATAATATGTTTTGAAAATAGATGCATTTTTAAAATTTTAGGCTTTTATTTTAAATCAAATGGGTCATCTTATTGTTTTGCAGTGTGCCAAAGGCAGTAATGCATTTTTTGGTTAATCATGTCAAAGATACTCTTCAGAGTGAGTTAGTAGGACAGCTGTACAAATCATCCTTATTGGACGACCTTCTGACTGAATCTGAGGACATGGCACAACGAAGGAAAGAAGCAGCTGATATGCTAAAGGTACTGTGATTTTTTTTAAATTTTCACACTTGGGTTGTAGATATAAACATCTATTTTTTAAAATGCATTATCCTTGGATACAGCTAAGGTCTTCATAGGATGGCTAATCTTTTTTTCTGTTGGTATTTGACTAGATTTAAGATACTGGTTAGTATAACTCAACCACATAAAAAAGAAGAGAGATTACCCCACATAATTCAGATTCTTTGATGTCATAAACTTGAATTTATAATTTTTGTCTTCTTTAATGCAGGCATTACAAGGAGCGGGTCAAATTATTGCTGAAATCCGAGAGACTCATCTTTGGTGAAGAGAACTACATAATACTGAGACTTTGTTGAGTTGAAAGTTGCTAGTTACTGCCTACTTGAGTAGATTTTTTATTTATGAACTCCTGTATATTGCAGTGGTATGAATCTGCTCACATGAAGACTGGCTATAAACTGAAAATTGTACTCTGTATTACAGAATGAATCACACATTTACTCCAAATATAATAAATGGCCATTTCTAAAGTTTTCCAGTATATATAAAATATATCCAGTCTGTCTTATGACAGTTTCATTTGAACTTAAAAAGAAATGTCAGTGTTCTTGTTGTACAAGCAGTCTGCCTGTGGATAAGATGACCTGTGTAATCTGTTAGTCTTAAAGCTGTTGCCATAGTCCTTTAAGAAGAACGCATCAAGACATTTCATACAACTGTACTGCATGCACTGTATAAACTGACCTGGCTCTGAAAGATTTGGGTTGATGAATTACTCACATAATCACTGTATTCCACCTGTCCTCAGATTTAGTTTTCTCTCTCCAAACTTTGATGTGTTAGTAAAAAAGCTGGATGCACAAGAGGATCTATAGCTATGACGATGATGCGGTGTGCATAATGGGTAGCTACACAGCCCTTCCACGTCTGTGTCCACATTGCCCTAATGCATTAAAATATATTTGATTTTTATTTAAACCTAAAGGCATGAATTACATTTTCCTGTATTAAAAATAACCATCTAGACTTGATCATCTAGTAAGACTTGGTGATGACCAGTTCCTTTGGTTTTTAGAGGTTCTAAAAAAAAAAAAAAATTCCCCTTGGTTTTTAAATATAGTAGTAGTTCAGATACATCTTTAAATTGGGGCACTCACACCATACTCTTCAAGATTCTTTTGGAGGTGGGTCTTAAAACTAAATACTGCACTGATCATAGAAGTGTATCTTTTCTCTAAAAGTATTAGTTGGTAATAGTTCCTTTTGCTTAACACCAGTAAAATACATTAGAATGGAAATGTGAAATTACTGGTGGAGCCTTATTTAAATAAAAACATACAGGCGCACACACACTCCTAAGGCTTATAGACTACTAATTGCATTCTGGGATTTGGGGGTGAGGTTTAGAGCAAATATACATTCTATTAAAATTCCTCAGGTGATCCTTGATATAAAATATATTATAAATTTCAAGATAAGGGTCAAAATCCTTAAGGCATCTAGCTCCATCACTAACCAGTAACATGTTAAATAATTATATATTACAGGTATTAAATGATGTAACAACATCATTTACAAAGGACTACTGGCAATATGAATATACCTGTTAACTTTAGCTTATGGTACCCATTTACTAAGGAACAAGAGGCTCACCAACTGATCTCAAACATAAAAAAAATGGATTCAGTCTGATAATGACATGGTAATTTGAATTGGTTAGTACGTAGCACACTTTAAAATCAGACTGCCATCATTAAACATCAGCTTTAAAATTAGAGCCATCCATGATTTACTTATTTCACACAGATCAGATGACTACCATTTTAGCCTTTTGAATTTGTAAGGGGGGAAAAAAACCCTTTAATGAACGTTTCTCCAGCATATCAAATAGATTTCCAATTAAATGTTACCTTTAAAGACATGCGATGGTAATGCACTTTTGGGTACTACAGACCTTGTACAAAGAAAAACAGGCAAGAAAGGCATGGAAAGAAAACCTTTGTAGGCCCTTAACTGAGTGAAGTTCTGAAATGTGGAGATGATCTATGACATTTATAAATGATATGTGTATGTTTTTGCTGTGTAAATAAAACTGCTGGTATGAAATTGAAGTTGATCAATAAATGAATTCTTCATAACTTTAGTCCCAGAAAAAGGTTAAAACTAGCTTTTTAACATACAAATTTAAGTTTATATTGTATGCAAGTTTTATGACTTATTAGACTAACAATTCACTCAAGTACTGTATCTGGCTGTGTATAATGAGCACTTTTTGCTCAATTTATTGAGGGAAAAATAAGGATGCACTTTATTCATAGGTATGATAATGGGTATAATCTGTGTATAATGTGCACAAAAATGTAGATGGATGCACGTTATACACAGCAAAATATGGTATTATTACTTGTCCATTTTGGCATATGAAGATAGTGACTTGTTCCAAGTAATCCAGGTAGCAAATGGCTAGAACTTGAATATTAAAGCCATGTCTTGCTGCCTAGACAAAATCTGTGAACCATTTTGAAAGTTACTAGCCTTTCACTTGATTCTCAGGGAAATGGAGTGCTATCACCTTGACTTTTCATATGTGGCAACAGTTCTGGAGATTTTACTTTCCTGATGTGTACAGAGCTTATCTAAATCTTGATAACCAAAACCTTTCCCCCGCCCCGCCCCCCAATCCTTTAAATTTGACCTGAAAACTTCCCTTACCTGGGTATCTTTTGATATTCTTATGTAATAAGAGAGTTGGTATAACATAAATGCCTTTTTTACTTTTTGGTTATTTAAGTTTTTCGTTTATCTCAAGTTGCAATCTGCCTGGGGAGAAAAGTTAAAATTTTAAACTAATTTAAAAGTTTCCAAATGTATAAAATATTACCTTAGTAATCTGAAAAAAAAAAAAGTATAAATTTAGTTACAATGAAACAAAGGTAAAGGAGAAGCAAACAATTAGAAACTTTTGAAAAGTCAATTACTGATTTTAATCTTCAAAAAGAAACTACTTCTATTGTAATTTCTAATTCAAATTACGGCTTTATCTAACTACTTTCCTTTATAAGGAGAACTCTATTTGCTTCCTAAACAACAGCAAATAAAATCAGTTTCCAATGTTAGATTTTGCATTTCTAATATGGACGCTAGAAGCATTGCTGGTTTTAGAACAATGTAGACACTAGCAAGATAGATCAGATATATACTTGATATCAAAGTACCCACAATTCCTTATACTACCTTTTGTTCATTGCTCCTCTTCATGTCAAAAAAGGAGAACAAGAAGGATAGGATTAGAAAGAGAGTATTTACTTTTTTCATGAAGTATAATTCTTAAAACAGATTAACCCTGGAAATCACAATTTTTGATGGTAGTCCCTACTGTTCAAAGGATCAGGAAATAAAATATGCCATCATTACACAAACTTACTAACCAACCTATGTCAATAAATTACTCACACTGTGAGGCCTAGAGCATACTCCATTCTCTTGATTTGCATAAGTGAAGGTGTAAGTTCTGGTGCCAACCTTCCCTATGTCTTGAGAATGAATGACGGATCAGTTTGAATCAATAGAAGGATTTTTCATCATAGTTGAAGCCATTTTATAATGTAGATATTTCGTTTTCCTATTTTAAGTAATGAAAGTCCATTCTTAAGAATATGTTGTCCAACAACTAAAACACTCTCAGGATTCGTTACTTGTCTGTGATTTATACTGACTCCACCTTCTGTTATCATCCGATACCTAAAAATAGAAATGTTTAGTAACTAGGTAAATCCAATCACTGTTGATCTCTTCCCATAATACAGATACATCATTATTGTATTTTATTTAAATTTCAGAGGTTCTCCAGTTGAAACGGTTAGCACTAAACTTGTCTTCACATTTACTCGCTCTGCCTCCCTTTAATGCTCTTCTAAAGAAAGGAACAAGTTTAAAGCATAATAAGTTTCTTGTTTGGTGGAGAAAAGAGCTGGGATATCTCTCAGCTCTTGATAGAACTGTTCAGTGGATAGTGGTTTAAAAATGAAGTAAATTGGAATAATGAAGGGTCATTTTCTGGAGGGCAAAATCACAGAAGAGAAAATCCCAGGACAATGCTGCTTTTAATGAGCTGCCCGTAAGATACAAGTCACAACTACAAGTCCTCACTTAATGTCACTAATAGGTTCTTGGCAACTGCGACTTTAAGTGAATCAACACGTAACAAAACCAATTTTACCAGAGTTCCTAGCACATTTCTTTCCTTTGCACATCCTTTCAGATGAGGGAGGAAACGAGAGAAAACCCACGGAGACATGGGGGGAATGTGCAAACTCCCCATAGTGGCCCTGGTTGGAAATTTTTTTTATCCTCTCAAACATTACAATGAAATGACATTGAAGATCTCCTCTTATATTGCTATGTACAGAAATTTTTAGGAAACTTTCTTACAAAATGGAAAATCCTTTCAAGTTACATTCTAAGTCTATGCAAATAAAGGCAAACTTTGTTAAAATACAAGAAAGTAAAATTTTAGCTAATTTCAGAAATGGAAAATCAGTCACCTATTTAATTCTAGATTACTAACAAAATATTTTGATGGCCTATGTAAATAAGTTTTATTCAAGTAATTTATCATCAAATTCATTCCACAAGCATTTCCAGAGCACTTGCTAGGCACTAAATATAAATAGAGCCAGACAAATGAACAGTTACGACACATTGATTAAATGCTGTAAAGAGCTGTGAGAGGTCTAGGAGCACACTGGGGAGGTAAGGGAGGGGTTGAAAGTAGGGACTTGGAAATTTTCCTGAAAGAAGAGTGACTGAAACTGGGAAAGTAAGTAGCAGTTACTTTCACAAACAGGAAGAGGAAACATGGGAGTAGCTAGAAACAAGTGAGATTTGAGTAAAAGGAGGGCTAGAGCTCAAAAGGCCTTTCCCTCTAACAAGGCAAATGTTGGCTTTCTCTTATCTGACAATGTTACCAAGTTAAGAAATGACTACTAGACATGGTTTTAGCTCAACAGTAAAAGATTTATATTTAAGGACAGGCTCCTTCTTCTTAGGAAGTGTTACATTGGGCTGTTTGCTATAGTATCCAGATCACGTTCTACATTTTGTTTAAATGCACAAGCCAACCTTACTTAGCTTACACAATCTAAAAAATGTCAGTATTACTGGGAACTCTGGCTAAATCAGATACAGTGTCATCTTAAATAGCAGTAAAACTTTGGTATCAGTAAATAAACCACTAGAACAATTCAGGAGGAAATAAAAAATGCTCCCTCAGTGAGGAAAATTCTTAGAACCACTGACTCACAGTGGGAAGGTGCATGATACACCCTCAATTCAGTGAACAGTTAAGAAACTGGCATGTTAGGAAATCAGTAAGGCGGATGGGCAAGTGACAGACAATGGATATTTTCTTTGTAAAGAGTAACTATGGCTCTTTAAGATACAGGAAAATAATCCAAAAACACCTGGAAAAAAGAAACCCAACTGCCATGTAGCATGCCCTTCCTAGTCACGAGCATGGACTGATAACGCCGACTTACGCTAGGACTCCGGCAGATGAGAGCCCAAAGGGCTCCCAGCTGGCTAGTGCCAAAGCGCTGTTTCATTATAAATGGATAAGCACCAAATGTAAAGCAATAATATCACTTAACAGGAATTTAAATAGTCTACCATCTTCCTGAGTAAAAAAATAAAATTCGCAAGAGGAATAATTGTATGCAGTTTGTAATGAGTCTTACGAACTTAAGTTGTATGCTTATTTTCAGAAATGCAGCTAATATTTTAAACAGGTTGGACAACTCTACAACTTCACAAAATGAAGAGCACACAGGCTGCGTATGAGAGGGCCCACGTGACTGTCCACGGAGGACTTCTGTTCTTGTGATCTCTTCAAATCCTGACTGTCCCTGAGCTGACTGACGCCAGCGTATTTATTAAATACACCGATCCCTTAAATACAAGCCTTTTCCAATGTTGGAGGAAAAACTGGATTAGATTTAATAAGACTTCACAGAAAATTTAGACTATTTTCAGCAATACATAATCTCAGTTTTCTCCTTACTCTCAGACTAACCTGACTGTTTGAAGGCCTGAGATGCTATTAAAGCACCCTCAGGAGACCACCCTCTCAGAAACACATGCTGTGAACTGTAACATTTTATACTGAATTAAATGTGAACCTGAAAGTTAAATAATCTTACCCTCGGGGACCATCTGGAATGGCATTTGCTTTGCGGCACGTATCTAGGACGCTTGTTCCAGGGTCAAGAACTAATTCAGAAAATGAAGCTTCTTTAAACAACTCCTTTAGCTCTTGGTCAGACATGACCTCCAATGCATCTACGCTGCTATGATAAAGGGCTTGTGTACACCTGAGAAACAGAAAAACATCATGTGAGTGCTTATTCAAATATATGTTCTAATACCCAGTAACCAATTACGAAGTGTCCATTATGTTCTAGACAAAAAGTTTTCGGAACAGCTACATTTATCTTGTATAATTTATAAACAGGATCCTCAGTTCAGGATCCTCTTTCTTTACGGAAGAGAGAGGCCATTTTAAAGCAACTGAGGCACACACTGACAATCCTTGTTAGTGGTAAAAGGCAACTCTAAAGCAGTGTAGTTCTAAATTTTCTGAAGTCCTATTAACTAAATAACTTCAAGTGTCAATTATTTGAAAAGGCCACCTTTTAGCAGACTCTAGCCCTTCTTGTCCATGAACAAGCTTTGTGACTTCGGCAGCCAGTCGTTTCTGAGGACCCCGCTTCTCTGGCTCTTTGCTGTGCTGCTGCATCATGTGGTCAATCTCCGGGAGGGGCAGAAATGTGAAGAGCTTCAGGTACCTTCAGGGCAAAAAACAGATTTATATCACATACCTAATTTTTATCTCCTACTTCCTTTACTTTTAAATTTGTTTTTAATTGTGAAACATAACAAATATGCAGAAACGTGCCTGAGGAGGTTCAACAGCTCCTGATAAATACAGCGCCCCTAAAGAAGCTTCCTGGACCTTGCTTAGTGTCACTGTGTACTAACACACAAACTCCAGTGTCCAACTCCAGAAAGGCCCACGGCCTTCCCAAAGACCCTGGGGTATCGATCCCACTAGTAGAGGCAGACTCGATGCTGGGGAGGTCGCCTGGAACACCCAGGAGAGGGAGGTAGCCCTATGAATTAGACTCACAGGGGCATTTTCCACAGGCTTTCTGGTAACAATGCATTAAGATTCAAGGTAATGAGAAAAAATCAAGAAGTAAAAACTGAGATCACAAATTACACCTGAACTGAAATTAAAGATTTTATACAGCAGGAAAGAAAGAAGGGAGCTGACTGGCTATTTCAGATATTTGGAACCTAATTGTTCCTCACGGCTGCCAAAATGCACCTAGTGGCTGCTATCTCTAGACCCTACACATCTATGAACATCTCAGAGATCAGCCAGGCAGTATGTCTGTTTCCTCCGAGATACGACACATATCCTGGGCTCCCTCGGCTTTCCCCTGCATGGAGCAGAGCAAAGCAACATGCCTCATTAGGTGCCCCTGCCACCAAGGGAAAAGCTGACAGGGTTATCCAGGCCTCTAGTCAGGACAAAGAGGAAGAAAAGGCAGAGGCCCCTGGAGTCACTGCAGGGCCGTCCCCGTCCTCACCTGGGTATGTGCTGCCTGGCACCGTGCCCACCCGCCCACCCCGGCGATCGCTGCTAAGGCTCACAGTGAGTGGGGAACATGAGATGAGGCCTGTCTGCTACTAAGCAAAACGGGCACGATCCAATGGTCTGTGACCCTAGTGACCCAAATGACCCTCCCCTCATTTCTATCCCTGAAGAAGGCCCATTTGATTGAGTCCAGAGAATTCTTTCTGCAAGGCACTCCCCCTACTTATGGAACAGTGCTCCATTTTTGGGGGACTTCAAAACCATTTGAAAGGCACTGGAGGGCGATGACATGGTTGCTAGACAGATTCCCACTCTGATGGCCACATACTTCAAATTTATGCCCTTACACCTCTGTTAACCCTAGGGCTCTCCCTTGAGCACATTTCCCTCCTTGAAAAGAGTTCCCTACTTCCTCCCCAGCAGACCCCAAACCTAATTTTGCCCCTTATGGAAACACACAGACTAACTTACACTGGGAGTTATGAAATCCCTGACCACATTACAGAACTGATTGAAGACATTCAACAGGCTCAAGGAGTGTCCTTCGTAGTCACTGACCTAGTTAATATGTTCTGTTCCCATCGTATAGGAATCCCAGGCCTAACTTGCCCTCCCCTCTTTTTTAACTTTTGAAGGGGCTTAATATCTACTCACACGGTTCCCAGTGGGATATTTAAACAACCCTGCAAATACACATAACCACTATGGCCCAATATAAATACCTTACAGTGGGAAACTGGAATTCTTGGCTTCCTACTGATGACATTATGCTGAGAGAAGCATAACCTCTAGGGAATTGGTATATGCAGATTTACTGCCCTCACACACCACCTACAGCGAAGTGGCTGGGCAACTGCTCCTCAGAAGATGCAAGGCCAAGCCTCGTCAAGTTCCTGATCCTCTAAGGGCAGAGGAACCCAACAGTCAAACGTCAGCTACTCACTATAAACCACTCACTAGACTCAGACAGGTACGACACATACTAGGCGTTTTCATGTTCGGAAGGCAGCACATCTTTCTCTCTCACTAATTGTTTGACTCACATACACAATCCCATGGAATCAAATGCAAGGCCGCTACCTCCCATTGGGGTGAGGCCCAACAGCGTGTCTTGGAAGGTGCTCAGCAGGCAGTCCAACAAGCCTTACGTTTAACCCACCTGGCTCCACCTTCCAAGTCAGCCCTTGACCATACCTGACTGCGTCTCCCAGGGTCTCTGGGCCAAATGTGAGTCTGCCAGACTTATGGGGTTTTGGATTTAGGACCTACCCCCAACAGCAGCTACTGAGCGCTCCCTTTTCGCCTCTTCCTGGGCTCTTTTAGAAACTGAGGCAGGCCCTGACTGGCCAGTGCTACTCCACGCATAAGTTCCTATAATGCTCTGGGTTACATATGACTCCCAGCCGTAGCCTGGCAAAGTCATGATGTCTCCTTGGTAAAATGGAAATGGTACCTTACGGAGCAGTAAATCTGATGTCAAGGCCTTTCCAAATTACAGAGGATGCGACTTCCCGCATGCTCAGCTCCTTGCCCAGGAGTCTTGCCGAGTTAGTGTTGACGCTTCCTTGGGAAGCCCCTTGGTTTCAACGGTCTGAGATGGACAGGGGGTCAGTATTCTCCACCAGTGGCAGCCTCACAATGCAGCTCACTGCAGGGCTGTGGCACTGGACCTGGCCCCAGGCACCCTCTACCTGAAGACTAGGGACATCTGGCTCAGCCCAACCAGTGAATTTGCATATCTCACCTAGCCCCTTAAGGGAGCCATAAAAAGGGGCCTTTTGCAGAGCCACATTTTCAGACTCCGGGGCTATTGCCCACCCCCTGGCAGTCTGCTCTGGCCAATGGCTAAGGGACAGTTTTCTCATATAAAGACAAGCCCATCTGGAGTGCCCAGCTATGGAAGGAGCCCCCAGTTCCTATCATTGTTCACGTCTTTGCACACACTAGCTGTTCTATGCCAGAAGACATTTTCAACAATACCACAGACTCCCTCACTGAGCCCTCCGCACTGTGCATAGTAGACTCCTCACGGCAGTGACCCTTTCCACCAGCCTGAGATATGGGGCCCACAATCTCAGGTCACTGAGGAATTCATGCCGTAACAACCTGGGCTCAAATGAGGGGACTCCCTTTCTCCTTGCTGGCAGCCAAAGTTGAGATAGATCACTGCATTCATTCTCTGTTCCGAAATCAAACAAGGAGGCTATCCAGATGGGGACACATTCCCCGGGGAGGCCGGCCACGTTCCTGCTAGCAGACTGATTTCATCGCCCACAGGCCCCTCCTGCTGGGGCTTCCATCATGCGTCCGCATTCTTTAAATTCGTACACAGCACTCCCCTTGGAGGAATCATCTTAAAAACAGGTACAAGCATACCTTGTTTTATTGAGCTTCACAGATGTGTTTTGTTGGAAATCGAAGGCAAGACCCAACACCAGAAAAAAGACTACAACTTGCTTTACTGTCGTGGTCTGGAATGGAATCCACAATATCTTTCAAGTGTGTCCGTAATCTTTTTCTTTATTAAATTTATTTTTGTTCCCTTTAGACTGTCAGGCATTACTGACTCTGACAAGGGTACCCAGTTTACCTCTCCCGAGACGCAACAGTGGACTACCAAGGCAGCGTCCTTTGGAACGCCATCTAGGCTGCTGCCTCCAGGCGGCTGGCCTCACTGGGCATCACAACAGCCTCTTCAGAGAAACACTCCTTGAATCACTTTCAGGCAGTGGTTCCCAAAATGTCTTCTGCCTAGTGCAGGGCACCACTGCATCAGATCTCCCCACTGGGGCAGGCCGAAATGTGCATTCAGAACCAGACAGCTCCCCGGCCTAGAGATACCATCCACTGAGACTGCTTGTCCTCACCTGTTCCCTATGGCCTTCCACGTTTGCACCTTACACAAAGCTGCCCAACCACAACTTCTGCTGACCACCACTTGCCCCCACCAACACCACCCCTGACACTATCATGACGCCTTCCACCACACTTCCCCCTATACTTTCCACAATGCCGGCAAAGCACTTCGCCAATACCGTCACCAATTATATCGAGGGAGTCGGAGGGCTACCCACACCTTGGGAATCAGAAATTGCTTGAACCCTACCTTAAATGCTTACCCTACTGACACACAGGCATACCTTGGAGATATTGTGGGTTTGCTTCCAGCCCACTGCAATAAAGTGAGTCATGATCTTTCTGCTGGTAGAGAGTCTTGCTTTCAATTTGTAAAAACACAGTATCTATTAAGCACAATAAAGTGAAGTGCAATAAAAGGAGGCCTGCCTGTATTCAGTTTCAGCCATCTCCGCGTAACAGCAATGCCTCTGTCCTGGGCTTCCCCTCAGTTAGCTGCCTCATACATTTCCCACCCCATCTGCTCCTTAACGGGTTGTTTTGTGCCCTCCAGGGGACTAGTTGCTGCATGTACATCAACAACTCAGTATAAGTTCAAACAGACTTACATCAGATGGCCCAAGATGTTAAAATCTTCCACAATGAATTACCCAAATATGTGAGCAGATTCCTAGAGATCACTGACCTATCGTCATGGCTGGACCCTTCAGGCTGGGGACAACGACTACAGACTAGATTTCAGACCACAGATTTGTTACTATATCCGTAATTGGATAGTTTATTCCCTTGATTAGACAGATCAAACAAGAGAGTCTAACCCTGACTTTTAACAAATCCGCCATCAAGCCTGCTAATGTTCTCACCATTATTCTGATGCCCTGGCATCACAGGCTGGATTGCAGGGTAAGTGTCTGCCATTCAGCTTCTGATGGCCAAGGTGTCCGTGTGGGAGACATCCATCCCGAATAAACATGCTGCCCTGCGATAGGTAAGACACGACGAGTAGCAAAAAACTAGATAAAGAAGCAGGCCGTACCCACTCATGAAGTCCCCCTTTTGGAATGCCCCGGGGAACCTAGATAACTGACCACTTGAGTGACCCCACTTCATCCTTCCCGCTCCTTAAATTTAAACTTTGTTTTAAATTTGCCTATGAAGAGCGAACCCACAAAACCGCAGGCATCCCATCCTCCTCCAAAGGCAGAGCTCCAGGTCCACATTCCCTCCCTCTCTCTCTCTCTCTCTCTACCTTGCTGTGTGGCCATCCAGGACCTGTGAACAATAAAGTCTGCTTTTCGAAGTTATCTGATGGTTGTTACTAAGGTGCATCTGCAATCATAATAAGAACCACAGAAGCCAGTCCAGCTACAACATTCGCTCTGGCTGGAGGAAACGTCTGTAGAGCTCACCACAAGCAGTGTGGGCCCAGATGAACTCACTCATTTCTAGACCATAGTATCACTATCAAGTGATGGAGACCCATGCCACAATAAGTTTACGTTCAACAACACCTGGTATTGCCAATTCTATGTTTAGCCATTCTAAACAAATGGCATTTTATTGTACCTTTCTTACGTGTTTCTTTTTAGTATTAAGGCTGAGTAACCTCTTCACATGTTTTTGGCCTTTCAGATAGAATCTCTGTGAAATGCCTGTTCAAGTCTCTTCTCATTTTTCTACTGGGTTGTCAGTCTTTTTCTCATTGGCTTATAGAAATTCTTTATATTAATTTGAATATAAACTCTTTATCAATGTTACATGTACTGAAAATATATTCTCTCATCTTTAAAGATGAACTTCATCTCAACTTTTGATGAACAGCAGATCTTAATTTTAATTTAGTCTGATTTATCACTCTTTTTCTGTGTGCCATATTCAAGAATCTTTCTCTATCCCAGTCATGAAGATTTTTTTTATTTATTTTCTAAAAGCTTTATTGCTTTATCTTTTGTAATAGATTTAGGTTGATGTCCTAAATAGAATCTAAGTTAAAAAAAAAACTCAAAAAACTATGAAGTATACACAGATAAACAGAAATTCAATGTTAAAATTATATGAGTTTATGAACTTAATTTTTCCCAGCACACTATTAAGAACTCACCTTTCTACTGAATCATCTGGCTGCCTCACAAAGAACTGATACAGTTCAAATGGAGATGTCTTATCTCTGTTTAGCCAAACAGCATTGCCAGCAGACTTTCCCAGTTTTGCTCCAGTTGTACTTGTAATTAGAGGAAGAGTGATTCCAAATACGTCTTCTCCAGTCAACCTATGAATAAAGAAAAACTTCATTATACGCTTCAGGCACAGTTAGTGGTAGCTTCTAATCACTCTTCAAATTTCAGTGCGGTTTCTTGCTCTAATTGACTTCTGTGACTTCCTAAATCCGGATTCTTGCTTCTCTTGCTGCTTTCACTGCATTCACTCTATTTTGGCATTTGTCATTCTGAACTGCAATTAAACAAGTGATTCCGGCCAAGCCAAGGGGAGGTGCTGTTTAACTACGGCCTTTAAATGTTTAAAGGCTGGGTGGGAGGAAGAGAGAGACCTGGGTAAATGAAGAGTCAGGTAAAGACAACTAAAGGAGGTAACTTAAAGGAATTAAAACACACACACACACACACACACACACACACACACACACACACACCGGCTAGCCTTGTGGTTCATCCCCTTCAAGAAAATGCCATTAAAATCTACGTGATTTGCCAAATATTTGGAGTTGAAAAAATGTTTTGAGATGCCAACCAAGAACACTAGCTTCATGTGAGATGCAGAGCTAAAGCAGAGGCCTTTCAAGACCTATATGCACTCAGGTATAAACAAAGAAAAACAGTTTCTCAAACCAGAAACAAAAAGAGCTACTTAGGGTAATTAAAACACACAATCCAAATCCTGACTAGTGGTCAATTTCCTGCAGAGCTCTAGGATACATCTGATACCTAATACTTTAATTCGGCCCTTTAGTTCTCATTAACCACTGATAGTATTAACACCATTACAGACAGTTAATGGGGATAAAACCAAGAAGAGTTTTAAGAAGGACGTCATTGCACAGTTCAAATAGGGCATCACCAGCTATTTCGTGTGTAAATTACTTGGTCATAGGATTGCTCCTTGGTCTAAAGACGCTTACTTGTTAATGAACTCGTATCCCGACATGATATTGCCCAGCTGATCAGATCCACCCAGTTGGACACGGCATCCATACCGCTGGAACAGGTAGTAGAAATCATAGGCCTGGAGCACCTGGTATAAAAACTCGCACAAACTCATGCCTTCAGGGCTTTTAAGCCGTGTCTGGACGCTCAGCCGGCTCAGCAGCGTGCCCATGCGGAAGTGGCCGCCTACTGCCGCTAGGAAGTCCACCAGGTGCTGCTCCTTGTACCAGGACGAATTGTCCAGCACCGTGAAACTGCCCCAAGTATGCCCATTAGTGAACAGTTGCTGGTGATTAGCTGCCAGAATCTCGATTCCTTGGCGTAGGGCGCGCGCGTTTCTTCTCACGCGGTCTGCGTCCAGCGCCTCACGCTCCTTGGTGCGGCCGCTGGGGTCTCCCAGGCGAGCCGTGGCACCTCCCACTAGCGCGATCACGTTGTGGCCGGCTCGCTGGAAGTGAAACAGGCCCAGCAGCGCCAGCAGGTGCCCCACATGAAGCGACTCCGCCGTGGGGTCGAAACCGCAGTAGATGGTCTGGGGAAAGTTGCCCGCCCTGCCACGGTCGAAGAGTTCTGGGAGTTCTATCTTGGTACCTTTCTCGGGGAAGAACTCCTTGAACAAACCCCGAGCTTTCTGGACCGCCAGCAACCCCTTGCCGCCTGAGTGGGCCTCACGTAGTCCCAGGGGCAAGACTTCCAACGGGCTGGGGGTACAAAACCGCCGGCCACGGGACATGCACCTCAACATGGGCGCCGCCATCTTAGTGGTGTCACGAAAGGAATGCTGGGATTCTCGCCAAGCCGCTCAACGTCCGCCTCCAACAAATTCATGCAGTAGCCACAGTGTTTTTGTGCGCATGCTCGGGTAGGGTAGGCGGTTCCTTAGTTACGGAACTGGCGTTCTAAGCAGTAATTGGAGCTCTGCTACCCAAGGAGTGATTTCCCTTCCTCGGCAGTCACTTTAAACTCTCTAAAACTTAATTCTTTATTTGTATGTAGATGTCTGTTAAAATAGGTCCTACCTGATAGGGCTGTTGTGAGGATTAAGAATTAAAATACTTAGCACATAGCGCGCTACAAATGTTAGCTTTTGTTGAAATTTTCACGTTACTAACTTGTGATGCTCAAGTTTTGTTTCCATACGAAAACTTGTGTGCAGAGCCCGTGAGGGGTTAGGGATTGGTTGAATTTCGTGGAGAGATACGGAGTCGGCGCTGAGACGGAAAGAATTCCTTACACTGATTCCCCATGCGGAACAAAGCGCCTCAGTCCCCAGTGTTCATTAGCTTTTCCAGGAGATGGCAGTCTTGTCCAAGCTATAGCGAGAGAAAAATTCACTATACTATATCAGAAAGCCCTATGGTATATTTTAAATTACAGGTAAGCAGGTGGGACATAGCTTTACGATAAGTGGATTCAAATTTGCAATCACATCGCCATTGCATTTTGCCAGGCGCTATCAGTGCTCCACTCACTAGGGACAGGGTTCTTGGCAGCTGGCTGGCAGGGAGTCAGCTCTAAAAACCCATTCTAAAGTCTTATTTCTAGGACTGCTTTCAATACCAATTGTTATAGGTTGAGTTCCTTGGGAAACAGACTCAAACTGGAAATTTGTGTGAAGGGAGATTATTGCAGTGTGCTCTTGGGAACAACGCAGGAGTGGAGTGATGGAAGCAGAGCTGGGCAGACAGAGAAAATGAACTGTGAACAATTTGCAGTAGAGGTCTCAGACAATACCACAGGGGACTCTGCACCGGGGATTTCCATTCAGCCATTCTGAATTGAGGCAAGTGGGCAGGCCTTTGCACCGTATTATTAACTAGTCATTAAATGTGGGACACCCCTAAGGAAGGAGGCAAAACCTTGGGCAAACCTTTGGCAGAAGGCGAGATGCAGAAGAGGACTCAGCTGTGAGACCTCAGCACCAAAATTTTCACCAGCAGCAGGGACTGGATGCCTTGGTCCTTGAGTCTGGACCATGCTCCAAACTGTTTCCTACAGGACCTTTCCACTTATTAATATTATACAGGCATTTAACAAAATGAAATATTTTAAAAATTAGTATCTTTGAATGTATAATTATTAGTGATTTATCATTGCCAAATAGTAGCTTCAATAGAATGTGTAGATACTTATTCTACACGCTATGTAACATTATCCCAAATGTTGAAGAAAATAAACAGGGCATAGTCTATCTCTTACGTTGATATTCAAAATATCTTAAAATTTGCGATTATAATCTGTTTATCTGCAGCCTTATTTCGCACTAGTTTGGTCAGGGACATATTTCAGTATCTGCAGCAGGGAATTCTGAGCACACAGCAAATGGTGCTTTTTTAGAACCCAACACACAGGAAGATCTCAACATTTTTAAAGAAGTATCTTTCATTCTTGAGGTTTGTGGTTTATATGACAGATAACTTATCTGTGGCTTTTACAAGTATGTTAGTAATTTTATACCAGAAAGTGTGACTTCATACTGTGGTTTAATTACTCCAGGGAAACATACTTTTCTTTATAGAGACATATACCTGTTTCAGCATTACGTGATGGACTGTGCCTAATGGAAAAGAACTTCTGTGGAAAAACAGAAAATTTATATTTGACATTAGAATTTATTTTAAGGTCTTTAAAAATAGACTGAGGTTCTCCTTGGTCTCTTTTTAAGTTTAGTTATATCAGGAACAGGTAACAAAAGTCTGGTACAGAGGTTAGTGTCAAAACAGGTTCTAGGAGATTCGACAGTAGCTCAGTGACAGCACAGTTATTTTCCTTTTATAATCTGTGATGGTGTAATAGGAAATGTGAGACTTTGTCCAAAAGACAGGAGCAATAGAAGAAGGTGGGACTTTTAAACCTTTGGAATTGTTGTCATGGCTTAAATTTTATTGGACTGGACCCAGGAATTGAGTTTTGGGGGTAAGAAAAGGTGCACAAGTTGATTCTTGCTGTTTTTATTGTCAAAAGTGAATGAACAGGCCTTGGCTGGTGTTGCTCAGTTGGTTGGGTGTTGTCCCACAACCTGAAAGGTTGTTGGTTCAATTCCCAGTCAGGCACATGCCTAGGTGGCAGAATCAACAGATCAATGTTTTTCTTTCACATTGATTTTTTCTCCCTCTCTTTTTCACTCCCTTCCCCTCTCACCAAATAAAAATAAATAAAGCTTTTTTAAAAAGGTAAATGAATAGTGTTAAAAAGTACTTTAGAAAATATAGTTTATCTCAAAAGGGGTAACTTGAAGTTAGCTGACTTGGAATTAAGGGCACATCTATTTTGCAATTACCCTATGTATAATAAAATATCACATAAATATTCACTCTGATGAATAATCCCTGGTTTTTATGGTTTGGTTTTCAAAATGTACACAATTATAAATATACAGGTATACCTTGGAGATACCGTGGGTTCAGTTCCAGACCACTGCAATAAAGCAAGTATTGCAATAAAGGAAAACACATGGATCTTTTTGTTTCCCAGTGCATATAAAAGTTGTATTGACACTATGCTGTAGTCTTTAAAAAACAATTTGCCTACTTGAATTTAGAAATACTTTGTTTACCAAAGAACATAGATGCATGATCCATGGGCAAAGGCAATAGTGCAGTGATAGCCAGAGAGAAGGGGGAGCAGGCGCTGGGTGAAGGTTGGCAAAGCAGGGAACAACAGGGATACTTGTAATAGTGTCAATAATTAAAAAAAAAAAAGAACGAAAAATAAAAATACTTTATTGCTAAAAAACACTAACCATTATCTGAGCCTTCAGCGAGTTGTAATGTTTTCACTGGTGGAGTGTCTTCCCTCCAATTTGTAAAGAATACAACAGCTATGAAGTGCAATAAAATAAAGTATGCCTGTAACAGCATTCTAAAGGCAGAAAAAGAGTAAATATTAATAGTGTCTTAATTGGTCTCTCATAGGTTATGCCCAACAGTTTAAAGGTAGGCAATCCCACTTAATTCTGAAGTGTTTATCTTAAGCACGGTACACGTTAAAACTACAGCAGAGATTTGGCTAGGCTGAAATGTGAGTTGCCCAAAGGTTACAGCAAAATGACAGCAAAAGGAGCCTGAGGTATTGTGATCATTATAATCACTATGAAATGTTCATGAAATGTTGTTCCCACTTGTATTTTCTCTTCTCTTGGAGATTGGAGGTATAGGTTTCTTCTGGAAGGTAAGTGATGACACAGGGTGCAAAAGGAAGTGGATGGGAACACAGAATAGAAATTGCAATTCATTTCCGAGATTTAGGGATAGCCTTATTCCAGTTGAACTATTTCCATGATATTCCTATTTCCTACTACTTGAGAAAATTTCTAAAGGCTGGCTTAAATCCTTTGTTGTGTATAAGTAATAAATTAATCTGCCTCATAATTTCATCCTCTCTCATGGGTTCCCTGTTGCCATTGTTCTTGAAACCCACGCAGCAGATCCTAAAGATCTTCCTTCCCCCTCTTCCCACCCTTCCCTGCAAGCCAATTGCTTCTCTTTCATTCCAAACAAATTCCTCCCAGCAAGTTTCCTGTGCATCAGGTGGGACAGGAGAAAAATGCTCCAACTGTCCAGGTGCATCTGCCCCTAAAATGTGTTGAAATGTGATCAATAATGCTTATTATCCTCACAAGAAAGGAAAGGCCATTAAATTTGACTAAAGATATAATTTTATGTAAGAGGTGCCCTGAAGCCTAATCTACATCCTTTTATTAAAGTGGCTCTAATGCCTTTCGAGCTGGTGATCATCTGAACACCCACACAGTTTTGAGAAGAGACTGGTTCCTTTTAAGCTGTTGGTTATAAGAAGATATTGACTAAAAGAAAACCACACGCATACACATACAAAAACACGAGAAAGTTACTAAATGTGTATTTCCTTTCTGTATTGCATTTTGGAGAAGGATAAACACTGCGGGGCTTGCAGTTGACTTGTATGCACCCAGTCACGTATTTCCATCGCTGAATAATATTTTGAGATATTTATGACATTGTTTTTCTATCCTTCATCCTTCCCTTTCCATTCTATCCTTTTAAGCTGGTAGTGATTTCTGTGTGTCTGAGCCTGGGGAAAGTCAGGGAGGAACACAGAGTAAGCCTGAAATCTTTTATGGCTTTTATTTCCCAGAGACAGAATAAAGTTTGAGGAAATAAACTTGGAGACGCAGAAGAGAAAGAGACAGGATGGTCCTTCTTAAAGAAGACTTCCAACCTGGGCAAGAGAGCGTGGGCTGTCAGCCCCATCTGCAAGAGGAGCTGTGCCTTTCTCCCTGGCCCCCCCAAAATGGCCCCCTGGTCCACTTCAGGCCTGGGGTTCCTGGCCTTTCCAAAGGTTCCACCTTTCTGGTTCTGTCTGAGGCAAGGGCATGCCTGAGTGCCAACTGGAGGTCTCGGTGAAACCAGGTTTGGCCAAAAACGATGGCTAGAGTGACCAGCATAGACTGGAGATCAGAGATTCTACTTACACCAGGTAACGTGATTAAATTTTAGTTCAAATTTGGAGAGGAAGGAGCTCAGTAATGATGGAAAAGCAGTATCTTGTCACTATATTGGGTTAAGGACTCAGACATCGGCTTATTCATTCAGCAAATATTCAATGTAAGTATTCCAGGGGTCAGGCACTTCTAATGGCTTAGGACACATTTGTGAACAAAAGATCTCTGACCTCATGGAGATGGAATTGTTTTGCGAAGTTAATACTTTTCTGCACAGTCCTATTCTTCACCAACTTCCTCTTTCTCTCCCAGGGTCCTTTTCCACCCCCACACCTTGGAGC